GGTTTTTGTCTTTCATTCTGTTGAAGTGGTGTATCACATTTATTAATTTGTGTATATTGAAACATCCTTGCATCTGAGGTATAAATTCCACTTGATTATGGTAAGTGATCTTTTTAATGTGCTGTTGAATTTGGTTTGCTAGAATTTTGTTGGGATTTTTGTATCTATTTTCATCAAAGTTATTAACCTGTGATTTTCTTCTCTTGTAGTGTTCTGACTTTGGTATCAGGGCAATGCTGGCTTTATAAAATGTGTTTATAAGTATTCACTTTCACTCATTTTTTTGGAAGAGTTTGAGAAGGATTGGTATTAGTTCTTTAAATGTTTGGTGGAATTAATAGTGAAACCATCAGGTCCTGGGCTTTTCTGTGATAGAAGTCTTTTTATTACTGGTTCAATATCCTTTCTCATTATTGGGCTGTTCATATTTTCTATTTTTTCATGATTCAGTCTTGGTAAGTTGTATGTGCCCAGGAATTTATCCATTTCTTCTAGTTTATCTAATTTGTTGGCAGATAATTATTCAGAGTAGTCTCTTATGCTCCTTTGCATTTTTGTGGTGTGAATTGTAAAGTTTTCTCTGAGTTTTCTTTTTCTTAGCATCCTATTCTCGTTTATGGATTCAATACTGATTTGAATCTATATATCTTGGTTCATAGGAGACATCATGGTTTATATTTGTTTTCCTGGCATAGTTATTAATAGTGCATTGTTATTCTCCAAATTGTCTCAAGGAGGATGACAAATTGCATGGTCACTTTACTCAGAAGTTATTGATGATTTTTTTTAAAAGTTCTCTTCTGTTCTTGAACTATTTCTATTTTTTCAGAGTGACATTTTCAGTTATTATTAACCTTATCTGTGGTACCAATAGCCATACCAGCTTTCTCAGTTCTCAGAAATTTCTCAGCTTTTCTCAGTGATTTCTCTAAAGAAATTACCACTGGTGTAATTTCTTTGGAGATAGATGAATATTTTTATTTTTATTTTTTAATGGTGGTAATTTCCTGGCTGTCATGTATTCTGTGTGTGGGGGTGAAATGAGAAGCAA